GTTAAGTAGTCCATAAGGATACTTCCTAAACACTCTAATTAGTTCATTTGTGTAGCTCAGGTCAGATCCCTTTTACAATGGGTTCAAATATTACTATATCATCATTAGTGTGTACATCATTAAGCAGGAATGGCTGTAAGGCACATGTAATGACAGAAGGCTTTGAGTCAGGGATAGTGCCTTCAGTGGAAGACTGGTTCCCATGCCAGGTTTTTACCCATCCCGATTGCTATAGTATGAGCCATGGCAGAAGCTGGCTTAATAGAGACCATCATGGGATACCCAGGGCATCTGGAATGATGGGTAGGACACTGGCGATAGTAGTAATTAAATAACAGTAAATCTCAAAGACAGGCAGATAACAGTATTATGACGTTGGGAGAGTTTGGAGAAAGGGAGAAGGGCCAGTAAGGATACATTTGGATTGAGATTCAGGGAAGAGGTGTGTGTCAGGCCTTCTGCTCTTACACTGCACACTCACCTTGGGCACCCATAACCTTCTAGCTAGTACAGTGCCATCTATGTGCTCATATTCCAACACTGGCCCAGGAGCCTACTAGATGGTTTCAATTAGCTGTCATGCAGGTACCTCAGACACTACACCATCTACATTATGAACTCAGCAGCTTTCCCCAAACCTGATTCTTCTGAATGTTTCCATCTCTGTTGGTGGTATTACCACCATCCACCTAGACACAGAAACCTGGAAGTCACCCTTGATCCTCTAGCTCCCTCATCTTTTACTCAGTCTAGTTGACTCTGTTTCCTCTGTCAATAACACCCCTTGCCTCCTAATTGAACTCCTGAGCTCCAATCTTGTTCCTCCAAATTATTTTACACACTAGAGACCCGATGCACGAAATTCATGCACAGGTAGAGTCCCTAGGCCTGACTGGTGATCAGGGTCGATTGGGGTCTTCTGGCTGCTGCCTGTGGCTTTCCTTCTGCGCCACCTCTGGTGGTCAGCGCACATCATAGCAAGCGATCGAACTCCTGGTCTCCCGGTCTAACTCCCGAGGAGACACTTTTTATATTAGGCTTTTACATATATAGATTATACCAGGGTGGCTTTTATAAATAGAAATTTGGATAATACATCCTCCTTGTTCAAATAAGATAATACTCCTCCCTACTCTGCTCTTCTCTTCAACTTTAGCCCTCATAATCTCCTCCTTGCATTTGGTTATCCTCTTATGGTTATCATCTTTCAGTTCTTCAAAGATGCTAGGCTGCCTTCAGAACTCTGGGCTTCTGCCCACACTGCCACTCTGCCTGAAGTATTTTTTCTCCTCTTTACTTCTGCTTCAGTGTCAGTGGAGATGTTTCTCTGGTTCCTAGATGGAACTACATCTCTCCGCTAGGTGTTATCATAGCATCCCACCACTTCCCTTGGCATCCCATGCAGTGAACGCTGTAAGTGGTTGCACCTCTATTTCCTTCTAGGCTGTGAGGTCCATGAGGGCAATGGACACATTATCATCTTCACTGCTGCCATCCCTAGAACCCCTGACAGGCCTTCAACTTCCATACATGTTTGCTGAATAAAAGATGAGAGGATGAGGGCATTGTAGTGCTCATTGGGAGACAAGCTAAGTGATGAGTCAGAAAGACTAAACAAATACAGCAAGGGATGGGGTAAATGGGAAATTTAAGCAGAGGTGTCCCTACTTAATTCCTCATGTATCAGATACCGAGCTTATGGACTTTTAGGTCCTCCCAGAGGGGAGACCTGAGTTTACCTAATGAAGTAGGAGAGCCTTGCAGGCAGATAGACTTGAACTCTAAATTCTAGAGGTACAATCCTGGTAAGTTACTGATAGGGCTGATGGAATAATTCATTGCGATAATTTGTGCAAAATGAATGGTTACCTAGTATTTTGATGTGGTCCTTGTGATATAGTCATTATGCCATGTTCTACATTACCCATCAAAATGCTTCTGCCGTATAATAATAAGTCAATATTTTCCAGCACCTTTCCTCAAATCTGATATTCTTCCAGGTGACATAATTATTTTATTTAGTTCTAATGGGATCAGATGAAAAGTTGCTTTTATCATCTTCACTTAATGAGGCAACCAAGGCATAGAGTGATTGGTTAACCTGACCAAATCCACACCACAGAGCAAGGGACAACATTTGACTATCTTGGTGATTCTACCACACAATCCTCATTTGTTCTTAATGTTTTTATTTGAATTTACTTCTTCCCCATTAAAGGTTAAGATGTTTAAATTTAATTCAAAGAATATTTATTGAATGAGCTACCATTTGTGTCACCTTAATTTCCATGTGAATTTAAATGAACAATTATTTATTACTATGATTTTCTTAAAGAGCACTGTACCTTATTGCTATCCATGGACTTTAACATTGGGGGGAAGCAGAGTTGCCACCCCAAAATATGTATGTTGATTATGTTAAGCTGGTTGTTTTACTAAACAAAAGACTCAGAAAGAACTTTCCAGTTGTTGGGGGCCAGCCCCAGCAGGTCCAGCGGTTCCCCAAGGTGTGGACAGAGTCAGTGAAGAAGGAATGACACAGGGACAGTGTTCAGGTGATCATCATGGCGAGGTTCTCTCTTTATTGTCCTGTTACATCTATATTTATACTATTTGATTCTATAAGCATGCCTCTATAATTACATCATGGTATGTTTTGGGTAACGTTCTACAGTTCTGACCTTAGCCAAAAATCCTGTTTTAATCTTGTCTAGGTTAATCTCTGTGTTCCATTATAAGGGCTATTCCAAGGTCACTGCTCTACTGATAGGCTACAAGGAAGTGACTGAAGGAGTTTATCCTACCCAGTAAAGGTTATGTCCTCCAAGCCTCGCTGTTTGCCTTCCCTGGGACTGCCCTGTGTCAGTGGGTCTCCAGGGGTATAAGCTTTGGTGCTTTCCCTGGTGGGCAGATCCCTGGGGATGTGGGCCCAACAAGTCCCAACTTTATTGCCAACAGTCTTAGTCCAAGTTATTCATAAGTAGTACATGGCATTTCTGTAACACTAGGGGGATTTACTGATTTATTCTCTTCCTTAGTCCTGTTAACCCCTAACCTGGGGAAACAACCTTTCTCGGGGAGGTGGTCCTGGTTAAAACACATAATGCTAAGAGGGGGAGCAAACATATGTCATATATGCCAGGTCCCTTGAAACATAAGCTGTGCAGATATTTCTTCCCTGCAGCGACTGTGTCAAGCAGCAAGGTGGACTGGCTCCTGGCATCCACCTTCCCCCTAACTGCCTAAAATAAATTAGATAGAAGACCTGCTTTAGGAATGGCACGGTCATCGTAGTTAACTGTAGTTTAATATGAACTACGTGTGATAGGGAGGAACCTAGCAAGGCCCATTTGACTGACATTGCTACTGTGTCCAAAAAGTTAAAGATGGTCCACAAACAGTTATTTACCAAACACTTGCTTTCCCATCTTCACATGCATCGCCTTCCTGCCCTTTGAAGTCCCAAACTTGTCCTTACATCCAAAATGGCATATAGTCCTCTAGTGTCCAATGAGTTCTTGGGTCTCATATTTGTATCGAATCCCCATATGTCATATGTGATATGTAATAAATTTGTTCATTTTATCAACCTGTCCCATATTAATTTTACTATTAGTTCAGCCAGAAGAACTTAAAAAGGAAGAATAAATTAATTAACATTTCCACCCTACAGCATCTGAGTGAGGGGATAAAAACCACACACAACCGAGCCCCTCTGCTTTCTAGCCCACTCTTTCAGTTGTAGATTATGCTGCAGTAGACAGTGATGCTTCCCACATGTTTATTCTCTAATCATCTAATGGCAGTGCATTCACCCTGCGAATTGTTCTGCTGCCACCAAGCAGGTTCCAAATAGTCCAGGCTCCTAGACAAGTTTTCAGAAGCGTGAAGGCACTTTTATACACACCACTTGTGAAATCTCTAAATAACAAATAATGAAAAGCATTTGTCATAGGTCATTAGGCAAAATGTCATTGTCTTATGGGAGTATCCTCCGAGTAGCTATCCTCAGAAACTTCAAAGGCAGTGTTTTTCAGATTTTACTGAATGTAAGTTTGGTTGCACCGACTCTTTAAAAGTTAAAAAAAAAAAGGTTCTTCTCAATGAATTGGAATTAATTACAATATCTTTTTTTTTAAGGAAATGATATCACTAGGCTATTTAATGAAACACCTAGAAAGATGCATCCAATGTACATTTTCTTCAATTTTGGTAACATTACTGTGATTCCTCTCTTGTCCTAGAAATTCAAAAAAATGACTTAGTTCTAGCTTTAAACAAATGAATTGCACATTTTACGCAATTCAATAAAGAGCAAAAGTTATCTGAATGTATTATGTAAACACGTTATATCTGCAAATTACTTTATTCTCTCCTTGTCTCATCAGATGAAGCTACAATCAGAAAGTCTCCTTTATAGGTGGAGCCTTGATCTGCTATTTACTTCCAGTCGCCAGCTTCTCTGGCCACACCGAAGTGAGCAGTCCAGGCATTGGGCCTGCGATGGGCCTGGCGTCCTCAGCCTTGCCTCTGGCCTGGATGCCTACAGTGCATTCATGCAACTGCGACTGGTTTTACCAGATCCAGAAACCAGTTTGACCCAAATAAACAAAAACAGAACAAAGGGAGTTTCAGAGTTACAGATCAAGAGATTGTACAATGAGACTCTGCAACTCTGATTATACAGCTAGGGGTCAAGGTGACACAACAACCATACTTCATTCCACCAAAGTTTCATTCCCCTCCCCCAGTTTCCAGTTTCTACGTCCCTGGCATTCCCAGACCTTCAGCTGTCCTGGGGCTGTGCTGGGAAGAGTAGTTGGGAGACTGGGGGTGGGATGGCTGGGGTGGGGTGTGGGGTGCAAAGGGGTGGGGGAACTACTCAGGGGCAGCCGGGACCCGCGGATCCAGCCCTTTCCCTAACCTGCGGAGGAACCCCGCTCTGCCCCGGCGTCGGCCTCCTGACCCAGACGGAGTGGGGCGCAAGGAGCGCGCGGCCGGCCGGGTCGGGGCCGCGGGCCAAGTGCCCCAGGCTCCCTCCGTCCGGATGTGATGAAAGGCGGCCGACGAGGAAGCGCTGGGGAGGCCGGCGTGGAGGACGGGGGAAAGGCGGGCGCCGAGGGACCGGGAGCCGCGGGGAGGCGGGGCCGGAGCCCGGGGGCAGCCCCGGCCCGTGGCCGCTCCGCCCCCACCGCCGGGCCCCCGGGGCGAGCTGCGAGCTCGGCCGGAGCCTCGCTAACTTTTCCGGGCGGAAGAGGAGGAGAAACGGGCTGGGGCCGAGTTGTGGGTGGGAGGATGCCGAGGTAGGTGGTGGTGGTCTCCCGGGCCCGGAGGACAGGGCTTGGTCCTTCCCCTGGAGTTTCTCCTAAATCCACTCCCCTCTCCCCCGGGACCCCCCTTTCCCCAGCCCCCCAGCAACTTCCTGAGACTGCGCTGCGGTCAGCTGGCCGGCGATCCGCTCTTCTCCTGGTTTCAAATCAAAACTTCCCGGGGTGGGGTCCGGGGGAGGGACGGGGGGGTGCGGGGTGGCGCGCGTTTCTGCAGCAGCTCCTTTCCCTCCAGAAGCAGCCCGCTCCCTGCGCCCGGCGGGGCGGCCAGCTAGGCGGCCGTCGGCGGAGCGGCCCATGTCCGACGCCGGCGAAGCCCTGGGTCCGGGGCCCCGACCGGGGGCCGAAGCTGGCGAGGGCCGCCTGGGCGCCCCGGCCCGGGGTGAGTGCGCGCTCGCAACTTGCAAGCCTCCTTGTTTTGTTGTTGTTGTTGCTTTGTACAGTGTGTTCGCACATGTATGGAGTGGGGTGTGTGTGTGTGTGTGTGTGTGTGTGTGTGTGTGTGGACGGGGTGCGGCCAGGGCACATGCCCGCTGGCAGTTGTGCACTTCTGCACGGGGTTCGGTGCGCAGAGCCAGTTCTCCGGGATTCCTGCCCCAGACCAGCTCCGGATGAGAGGGCGGGATCCCTGGTCCCTCCACTCCCCCTTCTTTGGCTGCCGAGCCGCGGGATGGCCGGGTTGCTTCTTTCTTAAGCTTTGCGTTGAGGGGCCTCGAAGGTGTGAGATCTGAAGCAGTTCTCCCCGCGTCTCTCCAGTTCTCATGTCCTCATCAGCTCCGGCCTCCTGCGCGCTCTGCGCACGCATGCGTTCCCTCATCTTGCTGTTTCTTGGGGCCCCTCTGCACCTGGGTTTATACTCCAGGTTTCTGCGACCAGTCACTTGGGAATGGCTCATATATACGTTTTCAATAACTTGTGTTTGAAAATAAATATTCTTTAAAGACACACTTTCCAGGAATGAAATAAGTCCTCTGTGTTCTTACGAAGTGTTAACATGTACAGACGTTCTGAGAAAAAAAAGCTCTCTTGTTTCTGAGAAGCCCCCATAGCGAGCTTGTAAACAGGCCAGGTTGTCTTTCTCTTCTTCAAGGTAACAACAGGTTTTCATAGGCGACCACGAAAGAGCAAGGACCTTACTCCTCCTGATGTATTTTCATCTTAGGGTGGTTCTTATGTAAAGATTTTTTGATATTGACATGAACTCAATAACTTTCCAGAGCTCAAAAACCTACTTTATACTCTTGATTTTAAGACTATCTGGTACCTCCCTCCCCCCAACAGTAATGGAGTGGGGTCTTTGGCATATTATTTTAAAGGCAGCACAAATTGGTAAAGAAGTGAATGTTGAACCTTCAGTAGGTAAGAGCAGAAAACATCCATGGCTGATTCAAAATGCTCTGGCATTCAGGGTGTTATATTGAATTATGTTTATCATTTTTTTTTTTTGCTTCTAAACGGGAAGTCATTTTTTTTCTAAACAGATAAAATATGAGAAGATGAGAGAAGTAGAATGAAACACCAGTTTTCCAGAAGCAGCCCCTGTTTTAGGCGTTGGATTGCCAACACAATCATTTTCCTGCCCTTAGGCAGGTCCCCTGTAGTCAGAGACTCATTGATGGGCTTTTTATGTTCACAGCTCAGCTGTTAATCACTATTGTTAAATAATGCTTACTTGTGTCAAAAATCAGCATCAAACACTAGAAAAACGATGGATTTGGGATTTTTTTTTGATGTTTACCATGTCCAACTTTAATAGTAGGCATTTTAAAAATCACCTAAAAGACCCTCCAGTGATACTTGATGTAATTGTGCAGACATAATGCTGTAAGGTATCACATGATCTGACGTTAAGAAGCAGGCATCTAGAATGGTCTGAAGAATAATGTTGGCTTCAGACAACACACACAGTATCAGTGTGGAAACTCTTGGGTTAGATTTTAACTGAAAATTGGCTTAACTTAAGCAACAAAATTGCTTTTTAAATTAGTTTTACTTTGAATCACAGCATCCTTTTAAATAGGTATCAATTTAATTGTAAATAGAAGGGAAAGTTGATTTTTTAAAAAAATAAAATGATCAGGATCTTGTTAAAATACTGGGTCTCAGGCAGATTTCATAAGGTGTACTGAAAGAAAACATTTGTTGAAGAGAGTGGGTAGGGAAAAAGCTGCAAGATGAAGGCTTCCCTGGCTAGGTTGATTTTACTGGTAAACACACTGGTGAAGAAGGCTTACTAGCAGGCAACTCAACTCTTTAGCCCTTCCTTGAATTCTTTTCCTTAAGTCCTTTTTTATCTTTCCTGAAGAATAGCTTAATAATTCTCTGGTAGGATGTGACTGCTTAGTTAATTGAAATTAATTTTAGAACGATATATTAAAATCAGTGAGAAAAATGGAATGTTTTATAAAACACAATGTCTTTTGCAAAATTAAATATATGTATGAAGACATCTGATATTATGACCTATGCATATGAACTCTATACTACTGACCAAAGATAGACAACGGTAAAGTTGAAGGTAATTTTAGGGGGTTCTCTAGTCTGAACTTCCCCTCAACTCTAGAATTCCTTTTTACACTCTTTTAGGTTGTTAGTTAGAAACCTACAGTGTAGTGCATTCTACATGGAAAAAAAGGGGACATCTGCAATACCTTCAACAATAGCATTATATGAAGGTTTTCCTTATTGCGAGCATAGCTCTGTCTCTTTAAAATATCTACCCTTTCTCTGTGATTCTACGAGCAAAATTCTATTGCTTTGAAAGCATTAAAAATATTTTCTATGCATTTTGAAAATTGTTACAGAGCAAGGACATAAGCTCATATACTCCAGTCTGTAAGAGGGAACCAGGATGGGTATCAGAAGATAGGGAGCAGTGGGGATTGTGGGCCCCTGAAGAGCGCAGGGGCCAGGAGGAGGTACTTTTCACCTCCAGCTCATCTTTGTCATTTGGGTTAATATTTCCCCACAATAAGCCAGTCAGAGGAAGACAAGTATCACATGATCTCATCTTATGTGGAATCTAAAGCACAAAATAAACTGATGAACAAAATAGATCCAGAAACAGAAGCATGGAACAGACTTTGGAACCTCAGAGGGAAGGTGGGTGGGAAGAGATTAACCAAGTAACTTATTTTCATATATGCATAACTCATGGACGCAGTCAGTGGGGCCGAGACGACTTGGGGCAGGGGGTGGTGAGGGCTAGAAGGGGCCAACGGGGGGAAAAAAAGGGACATCTGTAATACTTTCAACGATAAAGATAAAAAAATAATTTTCAGTGTTCCACAAGATACCAGAAATGTGGATTTTTATGTATCATAGCTTCCTTTTTAAGGGTTGGCAACTAATTAAATACAATTATTGTCTAAACCAAGCAAAACAACCACACCTGCAGGCTGGAAATGGCCTCTAAGCAGCTGATTTGTGATCTCTGTTATTTCTCTATATAAAAGCCTAACATGCAAATTGTCCCCGCAGGAGTTTGACCGGGAGACCGGGAGTTCAATCAGTTGCTATGATGAGTGCTGACCACCAGGGGGTGGTGCGGGATGAAGGAAGGCCCCGGCCAGCAGCTGGCAGCCAGGGAAGGGAGGCCCCGGCCAGCAGCCTGAAGGCCCTGATCGGCCCTGATCACCAGCCAGGCCTAGGGACCCTACCTGTGCACGAATTTCATGCACCGGGCCTCTAGTAGAGAATAAAAAAGTAAAGGTACAATTTTAAACCATTTCCCTATTTGTGACTAACTTCTGAAAGATTGATTTGATTTGCCATCTTATGCAAAATCCCTGTCTTAAGTATCTTGATAGGTGAAGGACAATCTGGGTCAAATTTATTTGTGTTTTAAGAGAGAATGGATCTTGTAAACATGGTTCATCCAATTGTCATTTTTATTGTTTTGGATTAAGCATCTTAAAATTCATTTTGCTATCAACATTGAAAATATAAGTAGTTGTTTTATTGGTGCTATAGTTACTAGAATAGCGATAGTTGAAAAGAGCCTTTTACTAGTAATTAAGTACTTCATTCATAAATTTGCAACTTGTAACTAGAAGGTTCTTTAGAAATAATTTAGTTTAACTGGCTCACTTTTTGGAAAGGATGCCCGGAGAATTTAAGTGACTTGCCCAAGGTCTCATACACAGTCATTAGAAACGAGGGTGGAAGCACAAATTGTAAAGTATATTATATGTCATGGTGATAAATGTGGTTGAAGCAGAGAATCAATACAACTTTTCCCTACAGATGGATGAATTAAAGATAATGGGGTTTGGATACTGTGAATCACTTGAGCCTGTTCCCATCCTCATTGCATTTGTCAAGACTTAAGACTGTTGGGCTGGAGTGCTGGGATATACTTTAATGTGATAATGTGTGATTTAATGCACTCTTCTCTCCTGGGAGAGTCCTCTGAGATTATTAGGCGGACTTTTCATAGCAGGATGCAAAATGCCAGTGAAGTTAATTAAAAATAATTTAAAATAGAAGCTAGGGAGAAAATCTTCAAGTTGAAATTACATGAGAAGAGATTTGACTTAGAAGCATAGCTGAGTTGTCAGGAGTTTATAGTGGCTAATCAGATTTGCTTTCTGAGAAGCCTGTTTATTTCACTGTACCCAATGTATGCTTATAATATATTTATTCTTCTACTTTTTGTCATATTATTTTATCCTTTTGATTAAGGGTGGTATTTCTCAAAGTGTGTCATGTTTGGGTAACTTCAGTCTCTGGCTCTCAATTGCGGAAGATTATGCCCTCTAGGAGACAATTGTCGAAGACTGGAGACAGGTTTTGTGGTCATAGCCAGGAATGGGGTGGGTGATCCTGGCATCTAGTGGGTAGAGGACAGGGATGATGCTAAACATCTTACAATGCACAGACAGGACAGCCCCTTACAGCAAAGAATGATCTGGCCACGAATGCCAATAGTGTTGAGATACTATCCTAATCTCAAGGCCACTGGCATTATGATCTCCGAATTTCCTGGTGGAAGACTCAATAATCTGCATTTTTTTACAAGTTGCAGGTGCTCTTTATTTCTAGTTGATAGTCATTGTTTTAGAGGCTTTTATTTGTAGAAATAGATTTTTAAAAAGTATTCTTTTAATGGAAAAACTTAAAAAAACTCTTAAAAAGTTCCCTTTTCAAGTTCCAGACTTTAAATCATATCACTCCATGTACATATATATTTCCTATTTGTGTTCCAGCACTTTCATCACATACTCTAATTAATAAATAGTTCTGAGAAGTCATCCTCAAAAGATTTTATTTTCAAAATTATATGTACTGAATACGAACATGTTTTGAACATTAGCAAAAAAGACATAAATAAAAATTTAAAACAATGAAATAAAAATAAGTAGGTAAATAGATTTGTTACTA